CCCCCCCCCCCCCCTCGCCCTGTTGTCCGTGTTACCCCCTGCTCCATCTGGTGGAACCCCGCGTGTGCCCCCCCAGGACAAGTACATTGGACAGATCTACGACTTGTACGAGGACTTCCACGTAGTGCTGATGCCGTTGTTGGACCACGAGGTGCGTGTGTGTACTGTAGATGCAAATGACGTCGTGGCCCGCTTTCGCGGCCGGCTCGCCGATAGCTATGTTATGGCGGTCTAGTGTGCTTGCAGGCTGCTGTGGATGCGTGCTACATGCACGCGCTCGCGCGGTACTTCTTGTTCAGCCTGTTCCCTTGTTGTCTTTGTAATTGGGTTTGTTTTCGTTCCGCGTATGTATCGATTTGCGGCAAGAGCGGTGTCTTTGAAGTGTAAGAGTGAAGCTTTGGAATGCAAGGGTGAAGCTTTGGAGTGTAAGAGAGAAGCTTTGGAATGTAAGAGTGAAGCTTTGGAGTGTACGAGTGAAGCTTTGAAGTTTGAGATTGAATTTTTGGGTGTAAGAGTGAAGCTTGGAATGTACGAGTGAGGAGATGGCGCGGTTGGACATGGCTTGTTTCGGCGTTTCTTCCTGCTTCGTTTCGCAGGTGTGCTCTGAGGAGTGACATGCCACGACACTTGCTCCCAGCGACTGACCCCCCCCCCCCCCCCCCCCCCCCCCCCCCCCCCCCCCCCCCCCCCCCCCCCCCCCNNCCCCTTCCCCCTCCCCCCTTTCCCTCGATGTGGACCACAGGTAAGGGGAGTACCACACCTGAACGCGTTCTCGGAGCTCCTCATGAAGCCGGAAGACCGAGAAATTTCGGTCTTGACAATCGAGGGCGCAGCAGAGCTGGAAGCATGATGGCGGCGAAGAAGACGAGGGTTTAGGATACGACATATTCCGAAGCTCGTTTGCGCCCTGTACTTGTGCGTCTCTGTCGGCACGATCATTTCGCGCGAGGCCCGCTGGTTTGCGTTGTAGCTCGCATTTTTTGTTGTCTCTTGGTTGGATCCGGGTGTGGGGAAGTCGCCGATTTGCTGTTGCTGCTGCCCACAGCAGCATTTTGGAGCTGTCTTGACCCCTGCCCAGCACATCCACGAAGGCATCTCCACTCCTACTCAATAGGAAGAGATCCGAGTCTTGCTGTTTGGCGTTGGTGTTGGCGTGGGAATCGTGTGCACCGCCGGTGGTTTTCTCTTGCTGTTGGTTTTCCTTCGGGATCGCTTGTTGCAGCACCAGCGGGCGACCGCGCGGAGAACGGGGCTGAATTTCGTACCATCTGTACAATGTACAACAGAACGGGTGGTACTGTACTGCTGTAGGACGGATAGGGGAAGGGTCGGAGGTATTAGGCTCGTTTGTTGCCCGCCGACAGCCTTGGGACTCTCAACATGATTTGTCCGTCGACTGATGTCGGAAGGGGGCACCGTGTGGTTGTGGGATACATATGCTACTCTCTTGGCGTGGGAGGTGAGCGCTGCGCTTGCGATTCCGCACGCGGTTGACGGCGGTCTCGTAGCCGTCCCCGCGCGCATGTGGCGCCGCTGGTGAACCGACTTGCCCATTCTTGTTTTTTCAAGAACCGGGGGGGGGGGGGCGTGTAAAAGGTTAAGCTCCATCAATTGTGCATGCTAAACCCGCATCCACCAGAGGTCCACGCTATTTTTGTTTTGAAAACATGAAACAGGGAAGCATCATGGCGAGAGACGCGCAAGGGCAGTGCGCGTCTTCACTGCACAACCTCTTGCCTTGGAACATGGGGGGTCCGTACAACAAGGCCCTCTCGGCGAAGCTTACATAATACGAAGTATATTGCGGGTGCACCTTTTCATCTAGACCAGCATATCCAGCCAGTACAAAATATTCCGAGAAACCCGTGTTCCGAAGCCACTTGACAGAGTTTCCACCGCTGCCGCGGCTGTAACCCTGGCGAGCAACAGAAAACAAATCTAAAGCTGTTGTTCCCACACCGAGCGAAGGTGGCGACCGGAATGGGGGNNNGGGGGGGGGGGGGGGGGGGGGGGGGGGGGGGGGGGGGGGGGGGGGGGGGGGGCGTGGTTTGCACAGCGAAGCAGGTGTTTTGTTTCACTTGCGGCTCTGTCTCGGGGCGACCATCGTGTCGACGTTGTTGGTGGTTGAGAACAACGTGGAAGCTCTCGTTTGGCGTTCTCTTGTTGCGTGCAAGTAGTACGCGTAGTCCCAACACCACCTTGAGCGAGCGCAAAACACTGCTAAAATAACACACGCTCGTGTCTTTGGTGTGATTTGGTTCTGCGGTTGTGTTGGGATCGTTCTGGAGGCGTTTTCCATCCTGCACGATGTCGTTGCGGTATCATCCTCCAAATAGGGTCTCCCGAAAAATGTGTGTTCGACTGACCAGAGCCCGCACAGCTGTATCATGAGCAGAGCAATATCAGCAAGAAGAGTCGCCGGCACCACCGGAACAGACTGGGCTTGGAAACCCGCGATGAACACTCCATTGGCGCAAAACTCAGACCCATGTCTGTGTCTCTTTGTCCACGGCATGGGCTTGAAGTTACGCCAATTAGTCAGCTCCCTTTCGTCAACCGAAGTCGTAGGCCAGCAGGACACCAACATGGCATCCTTGTATAGAATGCGTGTACAGAGGAAGTGCAGCCCCGGAGAAGGACATCACACAACATATCAGCAGCAATAAGACGCGGTTCGGACACGTGTTGGTGCGTGCTCCTGATGTGCTGTGTGATGTCCCACTCCGGGGCTGAACTTGCCGCACCTGCCCACCACAACACGCTACAGTGCACCATGATAAAGTCATCGTATTGCTCCCACATCTGCAAGCTCTCCAGCCCAAGGGAACGAACACCCATGCTTCCCACAAACAGCAGTATATGCGGAAAATCCGGCGACGCTTTGTGGCGCCAGCTCTCTGACATCGCCTGTTTTCTCCAACAACGAGACAGGGGAGATATCGCTGTCCACTGCTTGGGGAATCGTGCCAGAAACACAGATAGCGTTTTCGTTGACACTATGAATCCATTTCCAATCAATCCCAGGATCTTGCTTGTCTGTGGAGATGGATCAATTTGGTGTTTCGTTCAAGTGAAGACAATTAAAAAAAAAAGGTACTCTGCGGCGATCGTGCCAAGTCGAATCAATCCCCCTTTTCAACTTCTCTCTTGTGTTCCTCATGTGCGCTGCGTCGCCTAGGGCATTACCCAATGCATCGCCAGCTACAAAAAGACTCCATCGTGGCTGTGACGCGGTCCCTCCTCCTCCCCCCTCCCCTCGTGCTGTGTTCGTTAATTACACCAACAAGCTGTCGTATCACACTTCTCCCTCTTTTTCGTCTTCCGAACACGAGTGAGTTTTTCCTGCCGCATCTGCAACCGCCCCTCCTCATCATCGAGCCTCGAACTGGATTACTGCGTCGCATCGAGGGCGGAGAAAAAAGGACCAAAATGCAGCGGGAAGGGGGGGG